TTTTTTTTTTTTTTTTTTGCAGCTGCCTGAAAACATGCGTTCTGATAACCTTTTGCAAAAATGCATAATAAAAGTCCTAGTTACAGTATAGCGTTTTAGTGATGATTATTAATATTTACTTAACCCTTAATCAACCATCTGTTCACCTTCTTATGTTTTTAATGTTCTCTTAAAGGCATATGCAAAATTTTCAGATGCAAAGCTTGCAGTAAAGTCTATTGACTGGACATGGAGGACTATCACAGGTCAGAAAGGACTGTTTTTAATAATATTGGTGTTAGAGCTTGTTAAATGTAGTGGAAGTCTGGGATGTAGCCACAAGCATCCATGTCATTTTCCAAATGTAACATTGTGAATACCAAACATTGCTGAAGTGCATGCGAGGGGATAAGGAGTTCTTTGATGGTTAAGCTGCAGCTGTCATGTTTCTCCCTCACAGCATCTGTGCCACAACTACACTATGAGGGATCCGCAGTCACAGAACCAACACAAATTCTAAACTTCCTACGAAAACAGGTAGAAATTCATATTTTTTTTTACCGATTTTCTCGTTTTTGTGTAAAGTGTTTTTCAGCAGAAGAATCCTGATGAATTTATTGACCAGATGACTATAAATTATCCTACTTATTACATGATTTTACCAAATAAATTCATACAATAAAGAAGTATGATGTGCTTGAGGAAGAGAGATTATGCTTCCTGGATTGTATATTAAAATGTCAATAATACATGTGTTGCCTAATCAACACAGAGATTCAATGCCGACTATGAGTTGACAGCTAAGCAAGGTGCAGATACAATGGCTTATATCGCCCTCCTGGAGGAAAAGCTGCGGCCAGCACTGGTGGGTCCATCTGCAATTCACTTACTGACTGAAATCATGTTTCTGGTCCTCATAATGATTGTCTTATGAATTAAGTGTACATCTGTGCTGTTAATTTGTAGCTGCACACATTCTGGGTGGACGCAGAGAACTATGCTAACCTGACCCGACCCTGGTTTACGTCACATTCCCCGTTCCCCCTTAACTTCTTTGTACCGGGTCGACAGGCCAGCTTGGCTCTGTCCCGCATCTTACTGACTAAAGCAGAGTCGCCATTGCTGAACATCACAGAAGTAGAGGGAAAGGTATGAGAAAACAGATCCACAATCATGAACGATCATAACATTACATCAGAGACATTAACTGTCATGCATTTCCTTGAATTCATTTTTTTTTTCAATGCCATGGTGAAATGGAAATGTCTGCGGTTCTGCATTGTGAGATGGAAAACAGTTTATCTCAGGAAAATTGTCTGTCCTCATGAACAAATCTGCCTGAGGTGGAGTGTAGAATCCAGAGGATCATGAAATATGTTACACAACAAATGTGCTATTGTAGTTATGCCATTCCACATAATAATTAATATAAAAATTGTATGGTTAGTAATAGAATTTCTTTTAGATCTACAGTGAAGCCAAAGAGTGCCTGAATTTGCTCTCCCACAGACTTGGGAACTTCCATTTCTTCTTTGGAGACACGTGAGTTTTTCACTTCTTTTATTGCATAATATTTAGCAGCTCTTTAAAGGGACATTTCACCCCAAAATAAAAGGTCTGTCATCATTTATTCACTCTCATGTCGTTCCAAAATTGTATGACTTTCTTTTTTGCGTTCGTGGAACATAAAAAATATATTTTGTGAAAATAGATTTAGTGTTTTTTGTCCATAGAGTGGCAATCAGTGGGTTTCATTTTTGTTATTTAATTCGCAACGTTTTCTATGTGAATATATTTTATAATGAAAATTCAGACTTTCCGTCACCAGGAATAATTTCTATTTTAAAATAGAAAAATGTTATTTTACATTGTAATAATATTTCACAATATTACTGTTTTTTGTTTTTGTTGTATTTTTGATCAAATAAATGCAGCCTTGGTGAGCATAAGAGACTTCTTTTAAAACGTTACAAAATCTTAACAACTCTAAACTTTTGAACGCTAGTGTATAATTGAGTTAAAAGGATAGTACCCCCAAAAATGAAAATTTTGTCATTTTCTCATTTAAATAATTGAGTTGTTCCAAACTTTAATTTCTTTCAGCCGTTGAACACAGTAGTTGTGGATACACAAAATACTATGGAAGTCAATGGCTACTGTCAACTATTTGGTTACCCACGTTCTTCAAAATGTATTCTTTTGTGTCGAGCAGAAGAAAGACATAAAAGGTTGGAACGAATTGAGGGTGAATAAATGATGGCAGAATTTTCATTTTGGGGTGAACTATCCCTTTAAATGTAATCATCTTTGTGTATCAGCCTGAAGTTCACCATGTTTTCTATCTGCCAGGCCTACAAGCCTGGACGCCTTTGTCTTTGGCCATATCGCCCCTCTAATTAAAGCCCCTCTGCCCAGTGGGCAGCTTCAGAAGCACCTGAACCAACTTGATAACCTCTGCCAGTTCTGCAACACCATCCTTAAAAACTACTTTACCGATGCCTCTGCTGAGAAGAGAACAGACTGTAAGTAGTAAGACCTCTGTCATAGCCTTTCCTATAGTACTGTATTAATAAACCCAGAAAAAAACATAGTATTGGTCATGCTCTGCTCTCTTTCTTCTTTTTATTAGTTTATCTCAACCTCCACTTGTTTGCTGCTGAATCATAGAAATAAATAATTTAACCAGACATTCATGATTCATTACCATTGCTTTCAACCCTAGACATTTGGCTTATAGCAGATTCTAAAAGACAGTTTAATAACAGCATGGTCTTTGGCCTCATGGCTCTTTGTCTCTTTGGCTGCACTCTGTATCTGCTCTAACCTTTCTCCCATGTGCGTAAAAATGCCTGCTTTTCTTCAGAATCAGTGTCCTGTCATCTTTTCTTTTCTGTCTATGCCCTCTCGCTAGGCTCACCGACGGCTATCCATGATCCTGTCGATGCAAACCTCCAGAAACTGACACAACTTGTTAACAAAGAGTCCAACCTTATTGAAAAGGTCTTGGCAAGATGTGCTCATTCACTTCTGAATTTAATGTCACTAGAAATCACAATTACATGGTTAAAAGTATGAGGACACCAAAGAGTTAAGAAAGAGTCCAACCAGACTTTAACCGTTTATTTTTTTGGAAAAGAAAAGTCATGGAGTATTGTGGTGAAAATATTTGTTATAAGGAAATGGTATAAAAAAACTGAAGACTAGAAGACTGTAAAAATGCTATGGTAATAGCATATAATGTTGACATTTCCAGAATTCTCAGGGACAGCATACATTTGATGGTTTTTCATTTAAATAATTAAGGGTTTTATATGGAAGCCTATTTTGCCATGGAGTAAAAAAAATGAATTCTAACCTTTTTTCTTGTAATTCTGAGTTTATATCTCACAAGTCTCACTTTTTAAAGAAGATATAAACTAATAGAGATGTTATCTCTCAATTCTGAGAGAAAAGTCTGAATTGTGAGATATAAATTCAAATTGGGACAGGGATAGTTGTCCCAAATTGTGAATTGTGACAAATGTTTCCACTAAATAAATAAATAGCTAATAAAAAAGCTACTTTTTATCTCAGAGTTGTGACTTCTTCTCAGACTTGCAAGAAAAAAAAAAGTCAGAATTATGAGATATAAACTCAGAAACTTAAAATGTTACCGTATTTTTTTTACAGTAATGTTCTCACAACAACAGCTATTTTTCTTTACATTTTTAATCATAAATTTCCTAAGTTTTTTTAAGGGTGTGTGCCTGGTTGTATGCTCGGTTTTATGAACCTGCTGAAACAGACACACAAGGGGGTGTCCACATGCTTTTGGCTATGTAGTGTCTCTTCTTACACATCTTTTGGAATGAACACGTCCTGTGGGTCTTATCGTCATGTATGTTTTTGTCACAGATGGATGACAATCTTCGCAGCAGTCCACAGCACAGACCGCACAGACATGAGTCCAAACCCTTGGCCCTGGCCGGCGAGAGGAACTCGACCCCTCCCTCATAAACACCTTGTATCAAAGCACTGACTTTACCATCATTGATTTATTTTCCATTGAAATTGAAATATTTCCAAATGTTATTTATAATTTAACATACTTTTGCAGTCATAATAAATTAATACTAGCTTTTCATGAGGAAGTTGTTGAAATGTGTTACAAAATCTAACACTCAAATCAACAACAACATAAAGGGCTTGATAAATGGGCATTCTTCATCTGTTGTATTTAAAAATCATTAGCACATGTGGCAACTACATATAAAAAGGAAATTGCTTTTTAGTAGCCTAATATAAACATTGAGCTGACAATTGATGACTTAAGATACCAATGCCATAGTTTAAAAGAGAAGTGAGTTGCATTTTCCAGGATCAGTTTTTTCCCTAGCGGTCATTGGCTTTGAATCAACTTTGAATGCACTAGCTGGCTTTCCAAATGCAAAAGGTTTTGTGTGTTTTATGATGTTTTTATTTATTTTTTCAATCCTGCCCCAGCACAATTACAGGTACATTAAAAGCTTTATGGTTTATATACTAGGTGTTCAGCTTTTTTTTTTTTTTAGAGTTGTTTATAATAACCAAATTAGGAGTTGAAATTTGTACATCTTTAAGGTTCATAACAGTTTAATTTTAATGCACATGGCAGGTTAACTATCACATACTGTAGTAAGCATGTAGAGTCTGCATTGTGCCTCATTACAGCATACTTCTCTCTTATTTGAATTGCTCTTTCCATTGATTTCACTTGATTGTGTAACTTTCCACGTTCTTGACTTTTGGTGCAAAGGGATCTTTCTTGACATCTGATCTTGTGTACTGTGTATACATTTATTGTTCTTCATATTCTTCTGGAGGTTTTATACATGCGAGGAATGCCTTACAGGTCCAGTGTTGTGCCATGCCACGCCATCACACCTGACTGTATTTTTAATGTAATAGGTCATTCATTGTTTCAAGAAATTGTATATTTCAAAATATATCAATGTATAGCAATGTTCAAATATATGTACATATATGCAATAAAGGAAAGTTCTTTGAAATAGACTTTTCTCAGATAAATGTGGAAGAAAACAAGTTAACGTGTTTAACTTATATATTAGTTTTATGTTATTAGTTGAAAAACCTGCTACATTTTTTATTTGTACAGTGGAAAGTAATGTAGCTAAATCGTGACAGAACTTATTTATGCTCTTTGAATGAACAATACTAGCGTACTGTACAACTTTCCATTCATTCATCATTTAAATGTGTCAGTAATAGAGAGACAGCTGTAGGGCTGCTGTTTGGATGTCACATGGAAGCTATTACAACTCTCCACTCCCCAAATATTCACATTCCCTTAACAAAATGGAAAGGGCTGGAGATTTTGTTCCTCCTTTGTTTTGCTGGTTATTTTCCCCTGGTCTTTACCACCATCTATGATGAGTTACGATTTTACAGATAGAAAGAAGAGGGGTTCATAACAAAAAATATATAAAATAAAATATTTAGGGTCAGTAAGATTGTATAAAAATGAATTTACACTTTTAAAAAAGTAAACATTTAAATGTCTTTCAAATAAATGCTTTTATTATTCATCTCAAACAATTGAAAAAACTGATTATGGTTTCTACAAAAATTAGCAGCACAACTGTTTTCAACATTAGTGATAACAAAAATTATGCGCAACATATCATATTAGTATGATCTGAGAAGGATCATGTGACACAAGACTGGAGTAAGGGCTGATGAAAATTCAGCTTTGCATCACAGGAATAAATTACATTTGAAAAATACATTAAAAGTCGAAAGCTGTTATTTTAAATAGTAATATTTTATTATGAAATAATAAAATAATATTCATTAAATATTCATTAATCATCATAATATTTTTTTAAACAAATCCAACATTGGTGAGCCTAAACATTTCAAATCTCACTGACCCCAAACTTTTTAACATCTTAATTCATCTATGAGCTTAATTCTTTGTTTATTAAAACATCTCTAATAGAAAAAACATCTAACTGACACTAAATATATTCAGAAGCATTGTTAACATTTTAATTCAGTCCAGTCGTTTCCAGAAATACAAATAAATATACAAGTAGACTAATTCATATCACTATTAAATGATTAGACAATAGAAACATTTAAAAGAATAATTTTACAAAACAGACACCAAACAACTTGAAAATCAAGTGCTATCCATACAGTATGTGGCCATTAGACAATAAATAGAATTGAAATTTGTTTTCTATTCTGCAAGTGATTGTAACTGATTTTGACTGTCATACAGTGATGCTTTCATAGCAGAAAAGAAAAAAAATATGTATGTGATACTGTGGTGACCCATTGGAAGTGAAAACTCAAATCTCTTAACTGTTCATTTCCCTTTGCTTAGTTTGTGATTAAGCGAGATCCAGACCACCAACAATTTTAAATGGAAACGGTGAAATAACCTTTTTCTACCAAATCATGTAAATACAGTAAACCACAGAAAAATAAATATTTTCATCACTCATTTGTGATGCCTTGCCCATCATCTCAAAACACGTGTCTCCATTTAGCAATGAAAGCATTATTAGCAGTCAACATCTGTTTTATTCAAACAACCTGGAAGCCTGTAGCTTCCAAAATAAATGCACTGACTCTGAATGTGAATGTCTGCACATCATGTGATCCGGGGGATCGTCACATACTGTATGAGAAGCAACAAAACTGGTCGCATGCACTTTCTGTTTCATATATACAAAAACAACGCAACAGCTCCAAAAAAAACTACTTTCTGGAGGGAATTAAAAGCACACCTTCAAAAACAATCCTTCCTTTCACAAAACTAAATTAGGGTGACCATATGTCCTTTTTCCTGGACGTGTCCTGGCCAGGATTTCTAAATTGCCTAAAATGTCTGGGTTTTGGCTTTGTTTTCCTATGGACGTGCTCTCTGCTGTCTTTATACATTGCTTTGACCGTTCTCTGTAGATCCCACCTTCACGCATGCCATGATTGGTCGATTATGTACACTGCCTGCTATTGGTCATTACCTTCAGCGAGTATGAAAACAATAGGAAAACAAAGCCCAAACCAAGAAATTTTTTGGTAATTTAGAAATCCTTGCCAGGACATGTCCGGGAAAAAGAGGACGTATGGTCACCCTGACTAAATATTTCTCATTATCTCTTCAGTCACACCATACAACTGAGCAATTCTTCAGGTGACAGCACAATATGGTTTCATTTAATTACTATTAAGAAAGAATCACTTGATTCATATCATGTCACACAAGCAAGCCCAGAGTTTTGGGACTTCAGTCATGTAAACTAGCAGTGCTTAACAAACTCCGGCACCTCCATGGTCATTTTTAGTTCTAGATTACCCGGCTGCTCCAGGACAAACACAGGGTGGCAAGGCTGAGTGAAGGTGTGCCGAAAAGTGCCCAAGAGCTGCCCGTTCTGAGCATTGAAGAAGAACAGCTGACCCTGACTGTAGTCCAACAGAGTGCCAATCCGCGCAGGTATGTCCATGACAAAGATGTCAGACTCCACACGGTCATGAAGCAGTTCAAATCTACAGCTGGAGAGAGGAAGGGTTAATACAACATGATAAATATATCAAATAATATACATACAATACATATCATACAGTACAACACAATAAATATGTCAAATATATATATACAGTATATATATATATATATATATACAGGTGCATCTCAATAAATTAGTACCCACTGTATATACAGCATTGTGCAAAAGTCTTAGGCCACTAGTATTTTCACCAAAAAAAAAAAAATCAGTTATTTCTATCTTTTGCTGTAGTGAGTCAGTAGGAAATATCAGTTTACATGTCCAAACATTCATTTTGCCATTAATTGTAGTATTTAATGATAGGTTTGTGTTTGCACAAGGAGTCTGACAGCAGCCAGTGCTCCACACAGAGATCTGATCTCATCATCATCACCAGTCTGTCTGGAATCACATGAAGAAACAGCACAAACTGAGACAGACTCAATCCAGAAGAACTGTGGCAACGTCTCCAGGATGCTTCAAGAAAGCTACCTGCAAAGCTACCTGAAAAACTATGCACAAGTGCACCTAGGGCAAAAAATGCTTTAAACGCAAAGGATGGTCTCACCAAATGTTGATTTAATTTAGTTAATAGAAGTTAACTGATAAAGAAAATCTATTTACGACATTATTTTTGACAGTATCCTCATTTTACAGCATTTTTTCACAAGTGCCTAAAGCTTTTTACAGTACTGTAGCTTTGCAGGTAGGTTTCTTGAAGCGTCTTGGAGACGCTGCCACAGTTCTTCTGGATTTAGTCTGTCTCAGTTTGTTCTGTGTCTTCATGTCATTCAATGCAATACAATGATGATAGAGAGATGAACAAATAAATGTTCCTCAAAACTGATGTTTTATATCTGATACTCACAAAAGAATACATTTTTTATTTGATTTTTTTAGAAAATGATGTTATTAGTTGTATATAATATAATTGATTTGGGCTCCTTTAGAACACCGTGCCTTATAAAAATATGTGTTTTGTCGTTTCATGATTTTGTGCAATTGTAAACTATTGAAGAGATAAAGCTGTCCATTATTTCTCGTCTATCAGCGGATAACCTGAGCGAAGCCCTGAAGACGCTGAAGCTCTTGTCGGCAGACAGCACTTCAGACAGTGTCGAGGGCTGCTTGGACTGCTTGCTCAAAGCTTTGGCCCACAATAGTAAGTCTGCATGTCTTTTATATAGCTGTTCATTCCAGTCTGTCTGGAATCACATGAAGAAACAGCACAAACTGAGACAGACTCAATCCAGAAGAACTGTGGCAACGTCTCCAGGATGCTTCAAGAAAGCTACCTGCAAAGCTACCTGAAAAACTATGCACAAGTGCACCTAGGGCAAAAAATGCTTTAAACGCAAAGGATGGTCTCACCAAATGTTGATTTAATTTAGTTAATAGAAGTTAACTGATAAAGAAAATCTATTTATGATATTATTTTTGACAGCATTTTTACACAAGTGTCTAAAACTTTTAACAGTACTGTAGCTTTGCAGGTAGGTTTCTTGAAGCATCTTGGAGACGTTGCCACAGTTCTTCTGAATTTAGTCTGTCTCAGTTTGTTCTGTTTCTTCATGAAGAGATCAGATCTCTGTGTGGAGCACTGGCTGTTGTCAGACTCCTTGTGCAAACACAAATCTCACTGGATTATTACAATTAATGGCAAAAAGAATGTTTGGAAATGTAAACTGATTATTTCCTACTGACACACTACAGCAAAAGATTGAAAGCTGGTGAAAATACTAGTGGCCTAAGACTTTTGCTTTGTTTTGTATATATACTGTTTTTACTGTATTTTTGAACAAAGAGACTCTCAAAAATATTTAAAATCTTACCAACCCCAAACTTAGTAGTATATATGCAATGTAATGTAAACACATTGATTCCCTTTTCTCACATGTTGTGCAGATGCACTCATAAAATTGTTCTTTCCATTGGCAAGCACCCTAGTTGCTGATTTGCAAACTTTATCATTATAGACATTATTTACACAGTACCTTCATAGTTTTAGACCAGGGATTTTTTTTGAAGTACACAAGACTATTTTTTAAAGTTTTTATGGA